GGAGCAAGTGAGGGGACCGTCGCTCACTAGTAAACAATGGCACACTGTCTGGGAATGCAGGCCCAGGCAGACTCAGAGCGTGAGTACGTGTCCCGGACGAAGGACGATTAGCGAGTTATTTGTGAGCCAAATTTTTAGACGAAATAACGGGACATTTCCGAAATGGACGACTTTCAGGCCTGACGATTATTGAGGGACCACTGTACATAGAACACTTAACTCGGATATAAACCCTCCCCTCAAACGTCTCCTTACCAACCTCAACAGAACACATGACCATAACACAAGGCAGAGATCACGCTTTGATGTTCTTCGTGTCCATCTCACACTATGTAAAAACTCAATTCACATAAAAGGCCCAAAAATCTGGAATTCATTACCTGTGAATATAAAAGAAACACTACTGTTTATAAATTCAAGTCTCTTCTTAAAACTCACTCACCCACAACTAAATAAATACTAAATAACTGTATCTCATAAATGTATAACCTGTGACCCTATCAAACTTTGTTATTTTTAATTACATTACCTAACAGAATACTCCATTCTACTGAATGCTCAGTAACTCAGTAAATGACCATATGACCTGTCTTTGAAATACTCATTTGTTCTTAATTGTTACTTGTTTACTATAATTTTTACCACTGAACAGTATATCATTGCTTAGTTCATCTTAAGTTAATTTTCAGGCTGCAAAAAAGGCTCTGCATACAAGGGGCTTTTGGCATGTTACACTGAACCTCTGTATTTCTTTGTACATCTATGTATCATGTCCAAATTAATAATAAATAAATAAATAAACTAAGTACACCTACCATCCGACTTACGACCGAGTTCGGTTCCGAGAAACCGGTCGTAAGCCGAACTTTACTACTGAATATCAACAAAACATTTTTGTTAATGACTTTATTTTATTGTTTTATTTTGGTATTTCATGTTTTACTTTACTTTTTATGTTGTTAATACTGTATTTTATACTGTAAGGTTTAGGATAAACACTGTGTACAACACAAATAGTTGTTTATTTCCCAGAAATTTGGCATAAAAAACACGGTCGTAAGTCGAGTGGTCGTAAGAAGAGCAGGTCGTAAGTCGGATGGTAGGTGTATTACAGTTTTTGTTCTGTAATGTTTACATTGTTGCTTTTTAATAATTTTCATAATAAGGGTGAGGTCCACATTATTTTGTAGGCACTGTATATACAGGAAGCACCAACACAGCAGACAGTAACGAGTTACGACATACAGCAGATAGTGAAGGACAGCAACACAGAACAGCAATGAAGTACAACAACAGAGAGCAGAGTAGTGAAGTACAGCAACATACAGCAGACAACAGTGAAGTACAACATACAGCAGACAACAGTGAAATACAGCATACAGTAGACAACAGTGAAGTACAACATACAGTAGACAACAGTGAAGTAACAGAACTATACACAGGACAACAGTGAAGTACAGCAACATACAGCAGACAACAGTGAAGTACAGCAACATACAGCAGACAACAGTGAATAACAACATACAGCAGACAACAGTGAAGTACAACATACAGCAGACAACAGTGAAGTACAACAACATACAGCAGACAACAGTGAAGTACAACAACATACAGCAGACAACAGTGAAGTACAACAACATACAGCAGACAACAGTGAAGTACAACAACATACAGCAGACAACAGTGAAGTACAACAACATACAGCAGACAACAGTGATTGGAAGAGTACAACAACATACAGCAGACAACAGTGAAGTACAATAACATACAGCAGACAACAGTGAAGTACAACAACATACAGCAGACAACAGTGAAGTACAACAACATACAGCAGACAACAGTGAAGTACAACAACATACAGCAGACAACAGTGAAGTACAACAACATACAGCAGACAACAGTGAAGTACAACACATACAGCAGACAACAGTGAAGTACAACATACAGCAGAGAGTAGTGAAGAAACCATAAGTCAAAACTGTGGCTGGAACAAACCATGAAAGCCACAACTGTTGCAGGAATAAGCCAGGAAGGAAAGCCACTACACTGTGGCTGGAACAAGTAATGAAGGAAAGCCACTACACTGTGGCTGGAACAAGCAATGAAGGTAAGCCACTACACTGTGGCTGGAACAAGTAATGAAGATAAACCACTACACTGTGGCTGGAACAAGCCATGAATAAAAGCCACTACACTGTGGCTGGAAACATAGCCATAAATGGGAAAAGCCATGAACTACACTGTGCTGGAACAAGCCATAAGGAAAGCCACTACACTGTGGCTGGAACAAGCCATGAAGGAAAGCCACTACACTGTGGCTGGAACAAGCCATGAAGGAAAGCCACTACACTGTGGCTGGAACAAGCCATGAAGGAAAGCCACTACACTGTGGCTGGAACAAGCCATGAAGAAAGCCACTACACTGTGGGCATGGAAACAACACTGCTGGAAAAATAAAAAGCCACTACACTGTGGCTGGAACAAACATGAAGGAAAGCCACTACACTGTGGCTGGAACAAGCCATGAAGGAAAGCCACTACACTGGCTGGAACAAGCCATGAAGGAAAGCTACTACAATGTGGCTGGAACAAGCCATGAAGGAAAGCCACTGCACTGTGGCTGGAACAAGCCATGAAGGAAAGCACTACATGTGGCTGGAACAAGCCATGAAGGAAAGCCACTACACTGTGGCTGGAACAAGCCATGAAGGAAAGCCACTACACTGTGGCTGGAACAAGCCATGAAGGAAAGCCACTACACTGTGGCTGGAACAAGCCATGAAGGTAAGCCACTACACTGTGGCTGGAACAAGCCATGAAGGAAAGCCACTACACTGTGGCTGGAACAAGCCATAAAGAAAAGCCACTACACTGTGGCTGGAACAAGCCATGAAGTAAAGCCACTACACTGTGGCTAGAACAAGCCATGAAGTAAAGCCACTACACTCTGGCTGGAACAAGCCATGAAGTAAAGCCACTACACTGTGGCTGGAAACAAGCCATGAAGAAAGCCACTACACTTGGCTGGAACAAGCCATGAAGAAAGCCACTACACTGTGGCTGGAACAAGCCATGAAGGTAAAGCCATACACTGTGGCTGGAACAAGCCATAAGAAAAGCCACTACACTGTGGCTGGAACAAGCCATGAAGAGAAGCCACAACACTGTGGCTGGAACAAGCCATGAAGAAAAGCCACAACACTGTGGCTGGAACAAGCCATGAAGAGAAGCCACAACACTGTGGCTGGAACAAGCCATGAAGAGAAGCCACTACACTGTGGCTGGAACAAGCCATGAAGTAAAGCCACTACACTGTGGCTGGAACAAGCCATGAAGTAAAGCCACTACACTGTGGCTGGAAACAAGCCACCATGGAAAGAAAAGCCATACACTGTGGCTGGAACAAGCCATGAAGAAAAATTGTGGAACAACACTGGCTAGAATAAGCCACAAAGGAAAGCCACAACTGTGGCTGGAACAAGACAATATTGTCTGGAACAAGCCATGAATAAAAGCCACTACACTGTGGCTGGAACAAGCCATAAAGGAAAGCCACTACACTGGCTGGAACAAGCCATTAAGGAAAGCCACTACACTGTGGCTGGAACAAGCCATGAAGGAAAGCCACTACACTGTGGCTGGAACAAGCCATGAAGGAAAGCCACTACACTGTGGCTGGAACAAGCCATGAAGGTAAGCCACTACACTGTGGCTGGAACAAACCATGAAGAAAAGCCACTACACTGTGGCTGGAACAAGCCATGAAGGAAAGCCACTACACTGGCTGGAACAAGCCATGAAGGAAAGCTACTACACTGTGGCTGGAACAAGCCATGAAGGAAAGCCACTGCACTGTGGCTGGAACAAGCCATGAAGGAAAGCCACTACACTGTGGCTGGAACAAGCCATGAAGGAAAGCCACTACACTGTGGCTGGAACAAGCCATGAAGGTAAGCCACTACACTGTGGCTGGAACAAGCCATGAAGTAAAGCCACTACACTGTGGCTGGAACAAGTCATGAAGTAAAGCCACTACACTGTGGCTGGAACAAGCCATGAAGTAAAGCCACTACACTGTGGCTGGAACAAGCCATGAAGTAAAGCCACTACACTCTGGCTGGAACAAGCCATGAAGTAAAGCCACTACACTCTGGCTGGAACAAGCCATGAAGGTAAGCCACTACACTGTGGCTGGAACAAGCCATAAAGAAAAGCCACTACACTGTGGCTGGAGCAAGCCATGAAGAGAAGCCACAACACTGTGGCTGGAACAAGCCATGAAGGAAAGCCACTACACTGTGGCTGGAACAAGCCATGAAGTAAAGCCACTACACTGTGGCTGGAACAAGCCATGAAGAAAAGCCACTACACTGTGGCTGGAACAAGCCATGAAGAAAATTTTGCCACAACACTTTGGCTAGAATAAGCCACAAAGGAAAGCCACAACTGTGGCTGGAACAATATTGTCTGGAACAAGCCACAACAAAGCCTCACTTACACAGAGGAAACTGGAAGTGTTTGGTGTGGAGTCGAGGTGTTGTTTATACTTGAGAAATAATCCTGATTTAAACCTTATGATGACAAAGTTGATCCTGGACCATTGTTAAGTCACAATTGACTTGATCATCATGACTCGACTGGTCCAGAATAAACCAAAACATTGTCATAAAGGCTGTCTATACACAAATAACTCACAAGTAGGAGAGAGAAACTTAAGATGACATTTTGGTCCAACTTGGACCAATAAGAAGTGACTTGTAAATGGTCCAAGTCAGATCGAAATTTCATCATAAGTTTCTTTCTCCTATGTGTGGGTTATTTGTGTATTGTTCCAGTCTCAGTATTGTGCCTTTTTGTTCCTTATAAAGGTTGTCTCCCAAGTGCAGGTTGTGTGAGAACTGTTGCTGCCATGATCTTGTGACTTCTTTTTCTCCTTTAGGTCGTTTCTAGTGTGAGTTGGTTTTAAGTTGTAAAATGGATTTTAAAGATGAATAACTTACCTTGTCCTATGTTTGTTGCTGCCTCCAGCAGGTGACCGAGGCCTCGGAGACTTGGGTGACTTAAGGTTTGGGGACTTAGATTTTCTGCGGGAGTGGCCTTCCCTGTCTTGTGAGGGACTTGTGCGACTGTTATTGGAATATCTTGGGTTAGGAAGAGGTAAGGACACCAGACATACTTATCACTACCACCATTACAATACATACATGACATGTGCAACATTTGGGTATCTATAGTGTGGATATGTTTTGTCACACAGTGGCTTCATCAGTCCTATACAAAGAAGAAGAATGGTGAAGATCTGGAGGAGTTTGATGTAATCAGTCCCTCAGCCTGGATTCAATGTAATCAGTCCATCAAGCTAAAAAAAAAAAAAAAAAATCCAGGATGAAGAACTGATTATCTCGAATTCCTTCTGATCTTAACCATTCTTCTTTACACAAGACTGATGAAGCCACTGTGTGGTGAAACTCTTCCACAATAAAGATACCCAAGTGTTGCATATGTGTCTAATTTATCAACTTGTCAGTTATCTGAACCATTTATCTACAATACAAACATACATTTCTCACTATGTACAAAATAAAATATTAAAAAAATACAAAAAATACTTAAAACTTATTTACTATTAAGAGTAGAAAGGTGAACAGGTAATACTACCTTAGCAAGATGCCCAGAATATAATGACATCTTAATAAATATATGAGAAGCATCAACACTAACGACTAAATTCCATTACATATTTTGTGATTACTTAATCACAGAGACAGGAACAATGTTATGTCTGTGCTTCATCAAATTAATGAATAAAACTAAGAATATTGTGGCTGGAACAATTCACAACATTTCTTAAGATACCTGCTGTCCATGTTCACCCAGCAGTAAAATAGGTATCTGGGTGTTAGTGGACTGGTGTGGGTCACATCCTGGGACAAAACTGACCTAATTTGCCCGAAATACTCTGCATAACAAGCGGTTTTGTATGTAGTAGTATGTCATTGATGTCAGCTAGGGTTGTATACCTTGTACATGTACTTGTAGAAGTTATAATTACATATTATTATTATATTATTATTAACAGTATTGTGGCTGGAACAATTCACAACACACAATAAATGTTACAGTATCGTGGTGTGAAAAATTTATATCAGTAGAAAGAGAGGGAAGGGTCACAGGTGATACCTCAAATTACAATACTGATTTAACATATCCTAGTGCAAGTCTTTCAAGAATGGGCCAACCAAGAATTACTGAACTTCTAGTGACTGGGACAGCCAAGAATTACTGAACTTCTAATGACTGGGACAGCCAAGAATTACTGAACTTCTAGTGACTGGGACAGCCAAGAATTACTGAACTTCTAATGACTGGGACAGCCAAGAATTACAGAACTTCTAATGACTGGGACAGCCAAGAATTACTGAACTTCTAGTGACTGGGACAGCCAAGAATTACTGAACTTCTAATGACTGGGACAGCCAAGAATTACTGAACTTCTAATGACTGGGACAGCCAAGAATTACTGACTTCTAGTGACTGGGACAGCCAAGAATTACTGAACTTCTAGTGACTGGGACAGCCAAGAATTACTGAACTTCTAGTGACTGGGACAGCCAAGAATTACTGAACTTCTAGTGACTGGGACAGCCAAGAATTACTGGACTTCTAATGACTGGGACAGCCAGAATATGGACTCTAGGATGGACAGCATGATACTGGACTTCTAGTGACTGGGACAGCCAAGATATGGATTCTAAGACTGGAACAGAATTCTGAACTCTATGACTGGGACAGCCAAGAATTACTGAACTTCTAGTGACTGGGACAGCCAAGAATTACTGAACTTCAAGTGACTGGGACAATCAAGAATAACTGAACTTTCTGAACAACCTGACAATACAGGCAGCAAAGTGGTACTGGATGCCACTCCACAAGATGACCATAAGTGAAGTGTGCACAGTGTACAGGCATGTCAGCACCAAGCCCAGGGACTGACTACTTCCAACTCCCCATCTTCCACCATTCTTCTCTGTATTGGACTGAAGAAGCCAAATGGCTGGCGAAACGTTTCCTTAATAAAAATTCCCAAATGTTGCATAAGTCTCTCATTCTTCAACTTGTCAATTTCTGGACCATTTACATCATACTTATGAATTGTTCCATGATATTGTACGTTGTAAACTGTTCCAACCATGGGAATTTAGGTTACTTGTGAATTGTTCCAGCCATGGTAATGTAGGTTACTTGTTAATCATTCCAACCATGATATTGCAACTTCATTATATATCAGAGTACATCATACACAGCATTTTTTCATACATGGCAAATATAAAGTCTGGCAACTACTACTTATATCCACCATAAACTACATGTGCGTGACTCAGGCGTAGTGTGAGTGCGTACACACACATGCACTAGGAAGATCCATGAAGATCAAAGTTTGGCGTTTCACTCCATTGTGTCCCACTGAAGTGAAACATTCCACACTGAGTGTCAAGAATGTCCCACTCCATAGTTATGTTCCACTCTCAAGTGAAAGATTCCACATCAAGTGTCAAGAATGTTGTGGTGTCCCAACATTCTTAAACTTTTACCTAACATAAAATGAGAACTCCCATTTTCTCTAAGGCAAAATGTGGTAAAAGGCAACTAAAATCGATCTTTTGGTCAGCAGTAGTAGTGTAACAAAATGGTGGAATAATAACAATAATAATAATAAGGGTCACCCTGCCTTGGTGGAAAATGGCCAGTATGTTGAAAAATAACAATAATAAACTAATGGGAATTCCTGTTATGAAGAGGTTAAAATTTGGTGTCACTGGGGAACTTCTGAATAAAACCCAATCAATGTAAAACCTCACACAAATAATTATTAGCCAAAAGAGGAACACAATGAAGGGGAGGAGAGAAGGAGAGGGAAACTCAGAAATAAATTCTCGACTCCTTACCAGTGCTTGTTCTTGTACTGTTTCCTTTTACTGCCATGAAGAAATGAGCTTTAACGTTTAACATGTAGTACGCAATGTGTCGTAAAGGGTGACTAATATGCAAGGGGATAGTAGTCTCTTCTTCCCCATCAATTTATGAAAAAAAAAAAAATTAAGCTTGGTTGGCTGTGCATGGATGTAGCAGATAAGAAAAACTGAGTAAAACTGAGTAAAACAAAGTTGAAAACAAAGGGTAAAGTTCAACGAGGTTTAAGTAGGTGTATCTATAAAACACTAGTGAAAGTAGTGGTGATATCAAATGATCATCTGTGGCAAGGAAATGACGAAGTGTTTAAATTAAGGAATTTTTTTTTTCAACAAGTCAGCCATCTCCTACCGAGGCAGGGTGACTCAAAAAAGAAAAATATTTTCACCATCATTCACACATAATCACTGTCTTTTCAGAGGTGCCCAGATATGACAGTTTAGATGTCACTCTAAACAGCCACTCTAAACATTGTACTTCCCACTTCCAAGACCAGCTAACCAGTTTCCCTGAATCCCTTCACAAAATATTACCCTGCTCACACTCCAACAGTTCGTCAGATCCCAAAAACCATTCATCTCCATTCACTCCTATCTAACACACTCACACATGCCTGCTGCATGTCCAGGCCCCTTGCACTCAAAACCTCTTTCACCCCCTCCTGCAATAAGTAAATTATCATGTTTATGCACCTGTGGGGGTGAGGAGTGGGGGAGGAAGGGGCAGAGAAGGGGAGGAGGGAGTGAGTAAAAGCTAGAGAGAACAAGCTAGAGAGAGTGACAGAATGAATTTACCAAGTTTTAAGCAAATCACAAAACGGGTGGGGTTTAAATCCATGGCAAGCGTGTCTTAAAACTCATAGGCCAGTGCATTAACCACTTGGCTAGCTGGCTCCAATAACATTCATCCAACTACGTATATTTTTATACACAATAGGGAAGTTAGCATGGACCACCAGTTACCACAAATGTGGGTTTTTTACAGATGAATCCCACATCAGCTGGTCACAGTGGGGCCCAAGCTAACCTCCCTTGTTGGGTGAATCTCATTTGAGCCAGCTGGCCAAGAGGTTAGCTCACTGGCCTGTGAGCTTTATGACTTGCTTGCCATGGGTTCAAGTCCCGCCCATTCCCTGAGTTGTTTGCAACTGTGTTATTACAATTTCGTGAGTCACGTAACCCTTTTACTGTCTATCATGTAGAATTATGTCACTGAGGTAAGGGTCCCTGGGGCAGTTCTACGTCATGAACTCTGCACACTTAGATAAGCTGTGAGTGGTAAAATTTGGCCTAGATATGATGGGTTTGTGCAGTGTGCGCGCACCGCATATAAAAAAAAATCCTACCCCACGAAGTGCATGATGAGAAAAACAAACTGACAGTGTGAAAGGCTTAAAGCAGCAACTTTTGCAGTGTTTTTTCAGATAGTTTTATAGTTATATTGGCTGCTTCTTTTTATCATCTGATAGAAAGGAAGACATATTACTGAAATTAGAGATGATTTTCATTGGTTTCAGGACTGAAATTATTTTATTTATATTAACACACTGGCCGGTTCCCACCAAGGCAGGGTGGCCCGAAAAAGAAAAACTTTCACCATCATTCACTCCATCACTGTCTTGCCAGAAGGGTGTTTTACACTACAGTTTTTAAACTGCAACATTAACACCCCTCCTTCAGAGTGCAGGCACTGTACTTCCCATCTCCAGGACTCAAGTCCGGCCTGCCGGTTTCCCTGAACCCCTTCATAAATGTTACTTTGCTCACACTCCAACAGCACGTCAAGGATTAAAAACCATTTGTCTCCATTCACTCCTATCAAACATGCTCACGCATGCCTGCTGGAAGTCCAAGCCCCTCGCGCACAAAACCTCCTTTACCCCCTCCCTCCAACCTTTCCTAGGCCGACCCCTACCCCGCCTTCCTTCCACTACAGACTGATACACTCTTGAAGTTATTCTGTTTCGCTCCATTCTCTCTACATGTCCGAACCACCTCAACAACCCTTCCTCAGCCCTCTGGACAACAGTAGCTTGAAAATGAGCTCAACATAGCATAAATATTTGAGTGGGGAAGTGAAACAGAATTCTTCCTCCGTAAGTCATGCATGTCGTAAGAGGTGACTAAAATACTGGGAGCAAATGGGTAGTAACTCC